CAGGCATCCACAAACCCAATCCTCGGTATGCTATGACTGCTACTAAACATCCCATTCTCTCCTCAAATGAACCAACATGTGTTTCCCAGGCCGTCAAGGATCCCCATTGGCGGCAAGCAATGTCCAATGAGTTCAATGCGTTAATTCACAATGGTACATGGGAGCTCGTTCCTTCCCTTCCCTCTCAAAATCTTATTGGTTGTAAGTGGGTGTTTCGTATCAAACGACATCCTGATGGCACTATTGATAGGTACAAGGCACGCTTAGTTGCCAAGGGTTTTCACCAACGTCCTGGTGTTGATTTTTCAGATACTTTCAGTCCGGTGATCAAACCTACTACCATACGCATTGTTTTGCATCTTGCCGTGACTCATGGGTGGCCAATTCGTCAGTTAGACGTTAACAATGCTTTCCTTCATGGCACACTCCGTGAAAATGTCTATATGGTCCAACCACCTGGTTTTGTTGACTCTGCTCATCCATCTCATGTGTGTAAATTAAGGAAAGCCCTCTATGGCCTCAAACAGGCTCCCCGGGCATGGTACAAGGAATTACACTCATTTCTGCTCTCCCATGGCTTTGTCAATGCCATCTCTGATGCCTCACTCTTTCTCTTGAAAAATGGGACTGCTGTAATTTATTTTTTGGTTTATGTTGATGATCTTCTTATTACAGGCAACGATTCCTCACTTGTAGCAAAGTTCATCCACCTGTTGGCAACTCGATTCTCCATCAAGGACTTGGGCTCATTACATTACTTTCTTGGTGTTGAAGTCCTTCCCACAGCCACTGGCCTATTCATCTCTCAGCACAAGTACATTCATGATCTTCTTGTCAATGCCAAGATGGATGGTGCAAAGGCTGTCAATACGCCTCTTTCCACCACTACCTCACTCATGCTCCATGATGGCTCCTCCCTAACGGATGCCACCTCCTACCGTCGTCTTGTTAGTAGTCTTCAATACCTAAGCCTTACACGCCCTGACATCTCCTTCACAGTCAATAAGCTCTCTCAATTCATGCATTCTCCTTCTGAGACACACTGGCAGGCACTCAAGCGTCTTCTTCGCTACTTGAAGGGTACCATTTCCTTTGGCCTTCATCTTTGTCGTCGCCCCTCTCATCGTCTTTATGCCTTTTCCGATGCTGACTGGGCTGGTGATCGTGATGATCGCAAGTCTACGACTGGTTATGTTGTCTATCTCGGTGGAAATCTCATCTCTTGGAGCTCCCGTAAGCAGCGGTCTGTCTCTCGCTCCTCCACCGAAGCCGAATATCGGGCCATTGCTGCCACCACTACTGAACTCATATGGATTCAGTCCTTACTGCGTGAACTTGGCATTTCTCTCCCCACAACACCGGTTGTTTCTTGTGATAACATTGGAGCCATGTTCTATTGTGCTAATCCTGTCCTCCATTCCCGTATGAAACATATTGATATTGATTTTCAGTTTGTACGGGATCGTGTCACTCGTGGTCTTCTTCAAGTCTCTCATGTCTCCACTACTGATCAGCTTGTTGATGCTCTCACCAAATCCTTGCCACGTTCACATTTCCATCTCCTTCGTTCCAAGATCGGTGTCTCCGATGGTGCCACCGTCTTGCGGGGGCGTGTTAAGGAATCTCCTACATTAAAGGAGATCAGTTCGTCAACAACATAATCTTCTCCATCAACTGCACAATCATATGAAAGTCAACTATGATATATGCTATGCTGTCTTTCCTATTCTATTTGATTAGGATTGATTCAGTCATTCAAGTATGATTGTATTTACCATATTAGGATTGTATTCAAAGTGTATATAACCACAGACCTGTACCTATAATGAATTCAAGGAAATATATTAGTTCTATATCTAAAAGGTTGCTACTATTAGCACTCTAGCCTGTCATATTCAGCACTACTTCCTATACAAATTTTCTTGGATGTTTTTATAAATTTAAAGTGCAAATACTTTTTGGGGTGTCAAAAAATAGCTCTAAGTTTGTTGCTTTATCCCATAAAAAACCTACAAAAAAGTGGAGGCGGAAGCTGCTGAATTTAGCAGCTTAGTTAACATTCATAAGTATATTCACCAAAGGTTTAGGTTGCACACTCTAGTTTGCAAGACCAAAATGTGTTAAATGGAGAGCAACTTGCACATGATGAGTTTAACGACACGTGAAGTCTTGATCCAATAAAATCATGTCACGTAGATAATAAGGGAGTCTTAACAAAACACTCATGGTACTGTTCACTTTTAACATTAAGAACATTTTTACTTTAAAAAGTCACTCCTCATACTATTTACTTACATCACCTTTTTGTCATTTTAATTAAAACTGAAAGTTTTCAAGCCATTTTCATTAGTTTTCCTAAATAAAAACTTAAACTTGGTATGATATTATTGAACTAGGACACCCAGTAGCGGTAATCCTGTTCCCAATTAATATTTCTCGTTAATAATGGGGGATTTGGGTATCGTAAGACATCATTGTACTAGGACACCTCGGTAATCCTGTTCCCAATTAATATTTCTCATTAATATGAGGCATTTGGATTTGGTAGTTAGAGTCAGAGTATACATGTACAGACACATCGATGCATTCATGTACCACTGCACTGCAATGACTTCAAGAACAAACATTAGGTTATGAACTGAATTAATAACGATTGGGTTGGTTGACTGAGCATTTAATTCTTCAAGCACTTAATTAGTTTGCCAGTCTACCTTCTTCTTGCTGGTCCATAAACTCGAGCTGGGCTAAGTGATCTGCTGACAACTTTAAAGCTTTGAAGCAGATCTTCAAGCTTTTGATGAACTTCAAAAAATGGCTTCTCTTCACCAGAAAATTCATGACTTCTCTTCAAATACACATCTTAAAGCTCCCCATTTTCTAGTAGTTATTCCGAAGTCTATTTGTACAAAGACCAAAATTGTGAGTACCTCTCTCTAACCGTAGTCTGTACCTGCGTACATTTATGCATGTACTCGTATTTATTGTCCGTGCTTGATTTTGGAGATTAGTTTGAAACAAAAAACGAAATGGTTATCAAACGTTCCTTTTTTTTTTAGTTCTCAAAATTTAGCTTTTAAGTCGTTAGTTTTTGGTTTTCTGAAAGTTGAAAATGAAATGATTATCAAACGGCACCAAAATATTTAACCCCTCTCACAATGAAGAGTCTAACTTAATGGGATTTGATGCAGTTAATGTACCCATATATTTCATAGCCACAAAGATCAGATAATTGTTTTCACTATACGAACAGTTTGGTGACAAGTTCTGTGTTGTGCAGAGGATTCCAAACAAATTTTTAAGGAAATATGGAGATGATCTTTCGAATCCAGTATTTCTTAAGCTTCCAACTGGTTCAGAATGGAAAATAGAACTCAGAATATGGGAGGGTGAGGTCTGGTTCGGCGAGGGTTGGCCAAAGTTCTCGAAGTTTTACTCTCTAGACTGCTGTCATTCGTTAGTTTTCGGATACGAAGGAAATTAAACATTTGCGTTCGTGTATTTGACAAGGATTTCACAGAGATCAACTATCCATTGACAATGCCCGAGATGGAAGAAACCGATGAAGATGATGATTCCGACAATAGTTCTTGGGATGATGATGACGACTCTGATTGTGTTGAAGTCTTGGACAACATCATGTCCCGCTCAAGAAAAACAAGGGACAAATCTCCATTGTCATGTCCTCGGCCTCATAAGAAGCACAGAACAAGTTCAACTGGTAAAACCAGAAACCAAAAAAAAAAAAAAATACACTGATTACATTAGGAAATGATGTTTGAGAAGTCAATAAAATCTAAATCAGAAATAAAAATTGAACATTAATACGCAACATATGTTTCGCTTCGAATTTTTACCTTATTGTGCTTTCGGCCTTTCTGTTATAACTTGCAATATCCTACTGTGTTCTTTGACATGCAAAGCTCAGTTTGCATACAAAAGACACGGTGAAGGCACCTCCAGCACTCCAAAACGAGCTCAAACAGTTCTTGGGAGTATGCATGCGTCGAATGCAAGAGGAAAAGCTGTTGTAGCTCTTCGGAGAGCCACAACTTTCAAATCTGACAGCCCTTATTTCATAGTTCCCATGAAGCGCACTTATATCAATGGACATTCTGTGGTAAGTTCCCTATAGACAACCATCCTGGACCGTCAAATTTGTTTGCTTATGGTTGGACTGAATTTGTAAGAGGCAATAATTTGGAAGTTGGTGATGTGTGCGTACTTGTGTTGATCGATGACACTAAACTTGTGTTTGAAGTTGTCATTTTTCGCACCACAGAAACTGCACATACATTCTCACCACCAGGTACGTTGTCTTTTAATTTCTGAACTGATTAATTGATGGAAGTGCCATAGTGATTAACTATCCATCACGTTCATCTTCCGTGATGTGCCTGCAGATGTTGAAGGGGAACAAACAATGTCCCAAGTGGAAGAAACTGATGAAGATGATGATTCCATTGAAATCTTGGACGATTTTCCAACATGCTCAAAAATAAATACGAAATCACCAATAGCACTACAGCCTCACAAGAAAAACAGAACATGTTCAACAGCAGAAAACCACAGAAAGAAATTTGGTGGCTCGTCTTTGACTAAAAAAATAATGAACCGAAGAACTCTTCAAGTTCTTAGGAAGATGAACCCAGTTACGGCACATGGTACAAATAGAGCCCTTCAGAGAGCAAGGGTTGTTATTAGTCCCTCGTATATCCATGCACATTATGTGGTAAGCTTTTTATAGAGAGAGATAATGTACAAGTTCTGCTAATTTTATCTCTGTATATGTGTGTGTGTGTGTGTTAGTTTTGAAACTGAAAATTAAGCTCGAGCAAATTACAACGAAAATCCTCTCCAAATTACCTGATTCTCTTTCTTTTCAGTATTTGGGAGCCAAGTTTACTAAGGAACACTTTCTTAAGCGGAATTATCATCAAATCATCCTTCGTGTATCGGATGGAAGAACTTGGCCTGTCAAATTAAGCAAACGTCAGAAAAACATGGTTCGACTCCAGAATGGTTGGATTACATTTGTGCAAGACAATCATTTGGAAATTGGTGATGTGTGTGTATTTGCGTTGATTAACAACATCGAAGGTTTAATGGATGTTGTTATTTTCCGCACTATAGAAGCTGCACGTTGCAACTTGTCACAAGGTAAGTTGTCTATTAATTTCTGAACTGAAGTTGATGGAATTTCCATAGAGATTAACCATCTGTCACCTTAATCTTTTGCGGTGTGCTTGCAGAAGTTGATGGGGAAAAAGAAATGTCCCAAATGGAAGAAACTGATGAAGATGATGATTGTGTTGAAATCTTGGACGATTCTCCACCATGCCTGAAAACAAAGAAAAAATCCCCAATTGCAACACAGCGTCACAAGAAAAACAGAGCAGGTTCCATTAGCACTTCAGAAAACCACATGAAGAAATTTGGTGGCTCGTCTTGGACTAAAGAATTAGTAAAACGAAGACCTGATCAGGTTCCTAGGATGATGAATCCACTTACGGTAAGCGGAACAAATAGAGCTCTTCAGAGAGCAAGGGCTTTCAAGTCTGAATACCCTTGTTGCACGGTTGTTATGCATCCCTCGTATATCCAGGCAAATACTTTGGTAAGCTTTCTAGAGAGACAGATCATGTACAACTTCTGCTAGTATGAATTGAAAACTATTAAGCTAAATAAAATTACGTTCTAAATACTCCAAAAATTTAGTCTTACCTGCTTCTCTTTCTATTTCAGAATTTGGAAGCTAAGTTTGCCCGGGAACATCTTCTATACAGGACTCATGATAATGTGATTCTTCGTGTTTCGGGTGGAAGAACTTGGCCTGTCAAATTACACCAATATAGCAAAAATGGACTGAAATTCCAGAGTGGCTGGATGAAATTTGTGCAAGACAATGGTTTGGAAATCGGTGATGTGTGTGTTTTCATGTTGATCAATTATACCGAACATTTAATTGATGTAGTCATTTTCCGCGGTAGAGAAACTGCTGATTGCACCTTTTCACCAGGTGAGCAAGTTTTCTGTTGGTTGTGAGTTTCTTTCTGCTCCATTAGGTCTGTCATCTGCATAACTTATACGAGTGTTATTCTTATCCCTTTTTCTGTCTTTGTTTTAGGGAAAGCTCGATCAATTTTCAAGGATCAGTTCAAGTCGAAAAATAAGAAAGTAGCCGGATGGATGTAGTTGTTGAAGCTGAGTATTTCTACATGAATACTACCCAACATTAATCTGAATATTGAAGGCAGAGTAAAAAAGGCCTGCAAATTTAATGATGTCCATGTCCTCCACTTGTTATTTTGATCACCCTTATAAAGGGCATCATCCTAAGAACCCCTTTTGTTGTTATGAATTTCAACTTCAACTTGAACCCTACATTTTGGATGCCATAGTTATGAGAAATGTTGTCTTTGTGCTTAACCTTAGCTTAGGTGGAACGGGTTCAGTGTCACCTTGGACTTGCGAGCCACTTATATAAGGCAATGTAATGAGTCTTGCACATGAACTTGAGTGACCACAGGCATCATGATGGTAGTAAACTTGTTTTCTGATAGTCCCTATCCAACAATCAATATTCCGTACACTCTAATTTTCATCTTGGCTTACTTGAGTGTGCACCATTCTGGTTCGTTATTACTTGTTCGTGGTATAGAAAATAACACATTCTTCTACATAATGGATTACTGTGCATTTGTTACATCGGATTATCTCGGACTAGACTAGCTTCAGGAATTAAGTTGGACTGGCTTAACATGGACTAAGCAGTATAAGAATAATGAAGCGTTTGGTACAGTGCCGGACTAGCAAGCGGACTAAATATATTTTTGGAATTTGATATTTTTTATACCAACCTTTTCTCTCTCTCACCATTTATCATGGAGGCAGATTCTCTGCCCTCCTATTTGGGTGCCCTTCCCATCCCCTCCTATTTGTGTGGTCACGGTTAAGCCACATCAACATTTTATATTCATATTATTTTTTGTCTTATTATCTCTACAAAAAAATCAATATAAAATATTGACGTGACTTAACCGTAATCTCACAAAATAGGAGGGGATGGGAAGGGCACCCAAACAGGAGGGCAGACAATCTGCCTCCATTTGTCACACCTTCTTTCTATAGAATATCGAGCACATAACCAAATAGTCTAACTTAAACCCAAAATCAAATAAAACACTGAACGTGGAAAAACCATAGTTGTGAGCTCGTCTTTCCAGTAAAATTTAGTTGTAAATATTCAAAATCAAACATCTCTCTAATAAAACCAATTCTAAATATTCAAAACCAAAACACAAAAATCAAAATCCTAAAAATTATCTTTCTATAATCGAGTTCCATCGCCCCGCACCTCTCTTTCTTTGAAATTTGCAGATCGTGTTTCTCTTTTATCCAGAAAAAAGCCAAAGATATAAACCATTTCAATTTCATCAAAATATATTTCAACTCCGACAGATTTCATCTAGAACTAGAAATAAGACACGCTCATATATTTAAACCTCAAAAACAAAAGAATTGCAAATGAGAGTCAGAGAGAGAATTTCAACTTCTTCCTTTTCTCTCTAGTTCAGTATTAATGAAAGCTCTACACACATCAATGGCGAATTTAGCAAAGAAACAATTTTGCAATCCAAAATTGACCAAACCACTCTCAAATTTAAGCTAAACAATCATCATATCATCAGAACTATAAAAAAATTAAACATTACCCACTAAAAATAAATCAAAACAATATTTGGATCCTCATCAGCTCACCCCCGTCATAGCCTTTTTAGGCTTCCCAGGACCCAGATCCGGCCGACCCATATGATGTAGACGACGAGGTAATCGTCGAAGATGAAGTAGTTGACGAGTTCGGTGTCGGAGATGAAGTTGTGCCCGAAGCCTTTGCCGTCGAAATCAAGGTCAAGGAGGTGAATTGAGCAGCATGATGCGATGTGCTGTCGCAGTCGAGGTTGAGGAGGTGAATCAAGCATAATGAAGCGAAGTTCTTAGCTAATCCCCTGCTTTTTGGGGGGACTTGTGAAGACCGGTTAGTGATGTCTCTAGTGAAAATGAGTCCTAGTTAATCTCATTAACACTAGTCCCGCAAGGAAACAAACACTGGACTATATTAATATTTAATCTAGTCTAGTCCAATGAGAGCTAAGACGGGCAAACAAACGCCCCTTAGTTACCGTCTATGAAAAAGAAAGAACCTCTAACAAAATGACATAACAGGAGAGACGTGAAATGCTTTTTCCCCCTCAAAGTGATCGAACTCAGTAGCTAAAGCACTCAAATGGCAATACCCAAATCACAAGTACGTCTAATACTGAGCACGACGGTTTAAGATATTAGTCACAGTTAATTTATCAAACAAGTGGCATGCTAGGGAGCCATAGCGCAGACTCCATGTGAGTAACTTTAATATATGTGATATGGTGATTACCCATGAAATCCTCATGTTAGTAGATTTTGTAGATATGACATGGATTTATAAATGTGTTTTTCTACTAAATATTATTGCTTTCATATTTTTCCATCCATCTGTATTTTTCATGAAATGTGATTTGACTTGCATATTTGAAATGTTTATGAACTTGAGGGTTAGTAGAGAACTGATAACCTGTTGACATGGGGAATTGATGTATCAAAAGTGTCATGTCTTATTTCATTGAGCCGTTTGAAATTGTTTCCTTGGATTATGCTCGGTTCCGTTGAGTGCTCCAAAATCGGGTTTAGCTGGGGTTCCGTTGAGTGGTCTGGTTCCCTACTCTATTTGATTCTGTTGAGTGGTTCAGGATCCATTAATATGTTTTCGTTTGGATTTTGTTGAGTGGTTTAGAATGCCTCGTACGTAACAATTTTGTTGAGTAGTCTAGAATCGTATCCTATTCGGATTCTGTTGAGTGGTCAGGAATCCCTCCTACTGTGCGATTATGTTGAGTGGTCCGGAATCGTATCCGTTCAGTTCTGTTGATTGATCTAGAACCCAAAGTAATTTGGATTTCGTTGAGTAGCCCGAAATCTCGCATCCCTTGGCTTCGTTGGTTCTTTGAAACAAGTCTAGAATGTGAAAGCTTAGGAGATGTAGGTTTCGGCCGAACTATATCGCTCTAGCGCTAGTTTTCAGTGCATTTATGAATTAGAAATTTGAGGACCTTTGATTTAGAAAGGCCAATGAATGTTTGTGTGACTTCTTCATAATTTTTAGTGATTGGATTATGATTTATAAAGTAGGCTTTAATGATTGATGTTTATAAGCTGTGATCGATGAAAATATTTTATGATTATCACATATGTCGGATTATTGTCGCTCACACGAACTTCTCAGCTTATTCGAGTTGTTACTTTGTCCAGTGCACCATTTCCACGGTGTAGGGGCGATTGTGTAGGTGACAGAGCTTAGTTGATACAAGGAGTTCTTAGGTTAGCAGTCGAGTTCAAAGTTTGGAGTGCTCTCTATTTCTTACCTTGTATTTCCTTTGGACTTTCTTGTTGGAACCTAAGTTATTGTAAATGTTGTCAATTTCAGTCTCACTATTTCAATTATTTTCCTTGCACCTCCTACATGAGACCATATGTCTAGATCGGGGTGTGACAACAAATGACTTGTAAGTCCTTAGGCCAATTTCACCATGCATTAATGTATGAAAGTCGATCGCAAAGAGCAACTATTCATAGCAGCACTCTTCTAGGTAACATATACTAACTCAGTATATGGAGCAAGATCTGCCCCTTTGAACTTAGATTAAATGAACTATTAATAGAACAGTGGTTCGTCGAACAAATTCAATACATTTGGATACATTTTGACTTTAAGCTAAGCATTATATTGCTAAAAAAAAAAAGTGCCTATATTGTTGTGAAGGTAAGAAAAAAGCGTTTGCACTATCCACTGCTCATTTTGCTAAATGAGATGCCTAGAATCTATTCATTTCAAGTAAGTAAAAATCCGAACTGGGAGATGGAGATATCAAATATTGAAAAGTGATTAAATTGTCATCTTAACAATCACTTTAACCTATTACACCTATATGTATCAAATTCGTTCTTAGATAAAAATGAAGCTGCTGATGAGATAATCAATTCCTTGCGAGTCATCACTTCTACTTTTTATGGCAATTATTACTTAAACTTCTCATGAATACCAACGTTCAATAGACTCAACAACACATGAAGGTAAGGCCCGATCTAGTAATCTGGAGAGAAGAGGATCCCTAAACTCTTAGAGCATCTTCAAAGGGGATGTCAAAATTTGAACATAAAATTTAAATTTGACAACCTATGTGGCATTTTGACATCTTTTAAAGTTTTATTGTCCACCCGATATGTCAAATTAAATTATTTTTTTATTATAAAATAAATGATTAAATTAATAAAAACTTAATAAAAGACATTTAATAATTATGAAATCCAGACTGTTCACCATTTCTTTTTAACAAGAGGGGACCGTTCCCTTACCTCGATCAGAGAGATTTTTCAGTGTGACCGTCACACAAGGTGATACACCACATGTCCCTATGTAAATAGTGAAATATGTGTGTTAAAAGGTTAATAACTTAAAATTTAAAATTTTCCACCACTTACATAAAAACAAGTGGTGTATCATCCGTTTTTCCGTCACAACTAAAATTTTTTTCACTCTATTGAACAAAAGGGAATGGGGTCAACAACAACATTAATTGCAATGATGATTAAACCAATAAAAATTTAATAAAAAGCATTAATAATTAATTTTGAAGTTGTTGTCAAATTTGACAGCAACTCTCTTGTTGCCAATCCATGTCATCACCACATAAGATTTGACATTTCGGTTGGAGAGCATTAGTGTGATCTTTTTTTACTGTTATAACTTATGTGGACATTTTGACATCTCCTTTAAAGATGCTCTTAAAACTCACATACATCTTTTGGCAAGATAAGACGAGTCAAATTGCCAAAGCACAAAACAAAAAAATAATGTATTGGGTCAATTATTTAAATCATGTCGATGAGCATTGTAATGCTATAATGATGACAATTGTTTGTCAAATGCAAATCAACTTTTTACCATTTTACCAGAAAATCTTGATATCAAAGAAAAGTAAGCTTCTATGAAATAACAATCGTTTAAAATCAAATAAAAACTAATGAAAAGTCTAAAAAAACTTCCCTTTTAATGAAAAATCATTTTTAAAGGTATAGTGAATAGTACAAGAGAAATGTATAAATGTGGTTTTTCGTTAAAAGTGAACAGTACCAGGAGTATTTTGTTAAACCTTCCTAAAATCAATGACCATATTTAACATAGAAAAACTTCAGTAACATGTGGACATGTTGTTGCCTAATAACACAATATTAGATTCGATTGAATACCATTTTCTCGGGATCTAGGGCTCGGTGATGATTCCCGCCTCGTTTTGCATCTTGTTGATTGAGATTGTAACCCTGGAAACCAAAATCAAATAAACATAGAAAAATATATTAGAACTTACACGAATCGGCACGGATTTTGAAGATTCGGAATGTAATGAAGAGAGGAAGACATGATGAAACAGATATGAGAATTTACTGCGCTGCTCCAATAGCTGTAGCTGCTCCATTTGTATATGTTGCTGCTTCCTTGCCTTAATTTCCTGTGCCTTCATTCCACGAAAACATGACGAAAACGTGTTTAGAAAAAGAAAAAAAAAATGCACAAACAACAAATTTCTTTTTTCCTGAAAATATATTTCTAAATAACAAAATCCAAATACAACACAATGAAGCAACCTCAATGTAAGCTGCAGCAGCCTCCGAATGCTTCTCAGTTGCCCTTGCAATGAAAGTGTCTCAACGACAGACCATTTAAAGAGGAATCCTGCAATGACAGACCATTCAAATCTAAGGTTTACTCTCCAGAAAATTATTCAACAGATATACTGTAAAATATTCGCAACAAAATCTTCAAAAATAAAAAAATACATAACATACTATCAAATCATGTCACCTCGGTGAACAAAATATATGAAATGAAAAAAATGTACATTCTCATATCACGAAAACATAGTCTTTCATCATCAAACAAATTTTTTTTTTCTTTTCCTGAAAAAAAAAAAAAAAACATTTTAAATGATTGCAAAACCTTACATAAATTAGATCTTTCTACAATCACATCAATTCCTAAGGTTTTGCAACTAAAGCTATTCTGATTCTACAACCAAAGCTACAGAGCATCCATTTAGGACTCCATAAAACCACACCCAGTCAATGTCATTCCATTATATTGCACAGCCCTTTAAAACTTTGCCTTTGTCCATGCTCGTATTCTCATTCACCGTAGAGTTGCAGAGACACTAAGATATTATTTATTACATCCTAAATTTTCTGTACTTTCATTTTTGTTATGTTCCTTTCATTGTGTAAACTTATACTAAGTCTTTATAATTTTTAGCAATGTTCTAAAAGATGCAAGGCGCTAGTCGGGCGGCGGACTGGGACCTAGCGTTTAAGCGGTTGAGCGGAGCCTGGGCGGGGGCATGAGTAGATTAGGTGGATTTAATTACATGAGTAGATTAGTTGGATTTAAAAATTAAATAAAATAAAAATAAAAAAAAGATACATAATTTTATTGGGAGACATAAATTTCAAAATAAAATGAACTATAAATTATAAGGTATTAAAATATATTGAGAACATGAGAACAAATATATAATGAGTGTTCATTCGAGTATTCAAAAAGTCTCTTACATTTTATTGAAAAAATAAAATACAAAATGAAAGTTATCAATTTTTTGTATAAGTGATAGTCGCAACCGAGGCAGGCTAAGCGGGCATTGGGCAAACAAGGCAGATACCTAAAGAGGTCTAAACGTCATTTCTTAATTTTTAAGACGCCAACAGATTAATTGGGGTAATGATCAACCGTACAAATTCAATTTTTCATCTAAAAATGAAACGAAAGCACATTTATAAAGTCAACGTAATTCGCAAGTAAATAAAGAAATCAAAGAGATTTGCGATTTCCACGATGATAAAGATTTCACCTGTCCCCTGTAACTAGGCCTGGCAATTTCTGACACGACCCGATAACCCGACACGACACGACACGAAATTAACAGGTGTTTGGATCGACACGATAACGAATCGGGTCGTTATCGGGTAACCCGATAAGCACCTGTTAAGATAACGGGTTGGTTCGGGTATACACGTGGGTAACACGATACACGATAAGCAGAATATTATTTTTATAATTTTATAACCCTAAAAAAATACTATAATAATTATATACATTAATTTTACAATTTTATAACCCTAAAAATTATAATAAATATATATATATATATTAAATTAACTATAAAATTTATAATAATTATATATACTATAATAATTATACCCCCAAAATATTAAGTCTATCTATAATAATTATATATATATATTAAATTTTATAAAAACTATAATAATTATTAATTAATAATTTAATATGCATGATGCATTGCATGATTTTGCATCCATTGAAATTTGATGTGATTTCTTTCCATTCAAATTTCAATAATCAATTTCTTGCCGTTGCCAACTTGCCTCCCTTTTTGAAAAAAAAAATGGAGGGAAAATGAAAATGTTAAGAAAAGTTGAAAATGAAACAAAAAAGTGAGGGAATTAGGGAAAGATGTTGGAGGGAAAAGTGAAAATGATAAGAAAAAGTTGAAAAGGAAACAAAAAAGAGAGGGAAAAATGAAAATTAATAGAAGTGGTGAGAAATTTTTTTTTTTTTTTTAAGTTATTAACTTTTTATCACACACATGACTGTCATGACATATCTCACTATTTTTATAATGACACACGTGACACGTGATGTATGTACTATTCCGTGTACCAGTCAATTATAATTTATACGTATAAAATAAATAGATTTAAATCTACTTAATAAATATATATATATACATACACACACACACACACACACACGGAACTTGATTGATGGCATACGAATTCTCCAAAACTAATTTCAACGATCCAAACCATCAAAATTGTTTGTATATGCTTGGAGATCACATCAGCAAAAAATCACAAAAAAAAAAACATTCAGAGATCAAGTAACGGGACAAAACTTTTCAACGGTTATAAACGAAAAATCACGATTTAACGGTTATTTTAACTCCGATTTTGATGATTTTTTATAACTACACTCCTTGACCCTATATGAATACAATGAATGAATTCGATCTTCAATTTAAAATATTTACACAAGTGGATACCACAAAATCTTATGTTATACTTAATGAAAGTATAAATAAACTCTAAGTGTTAGTCAATCTATCGTTTTACGAATTCTCCAAAACTAATTTCAACGATCCAAACCGTCAAAATTGTTTGTATATGCTTGGAGATCACATCAGCAAAAAATCACAAAAAAAAACATTTAGAGATCAAGTAACGGGACAAAACTTTTCAACGGTTATAAACGAAAAATCACGATTTAACGGTTATTTTAACTCCGATTTTGACGATTTTTTATAACTACACTCCTTGACCCTATATGAATACAATGAATGAATTCGATCTTCAATTTAAAATATTTACACAAGTGGATACCACAAAATCTTATGTTATACTTAATGAAAGTATAAATAAACTCTAAGTGTTAGTCAATCTATCGTTTTACGAATTCTCCAAAACTAATTTCAACGATCCAAACCGTCAAAATTGTTTGTATATGCTTGGAGATCACATCAGCAAAAAATCACAAAAAAAAAAACATTCAGAGATCAAGTAACGGGACAAAGCTTTTCGACGGTTATAAACGAAAAATCAAGATTTAACGGTTATTTTAACTCTGATTTTGATGAATTTTTACAGCTACACTCCTTGACCCTATATGAATACAAAGAATGAATTTGATCTTCAATTTAAAATATTTACACTAGTGGATGTGGATATCACAAAATCTTATGTTATAATTTATATACTTAATAAAAGTATGAATCAACTATAATATTAATAATTATATACATTAATTTAATAATTTTATATCCCTAAAAAGTAAAAACTATAATAATTATATAGATGTAGGTGTAAATTGAATACAATTTCATGATGATCGATGTAAATTGAAGATTTTGTAAATGGAGGTGTAAACTTTTGAGAAAGACTTGCAATCTTAAAAACAAAAACTCTTTATCCTTGCACATTTAATATTTGTAATATATTAGTAGTGTATGTATTATTTTTTTTATTAGGCTTTTATTTTCGAGTGTAGATATAGTACTTGAACGATAAATGTTTTAATGTTTTGAAGTAATATTTATGTGGCAATGTGTGGTATGTGCAAATTTAAAAAAAAATATTTTTTTCTTAACGGGTCATAATGGGTCATAACGGGTCGGGTCACTTTACCCGTTGGGTAAAGTGACACGACCTGTTAAGGACCCGTTAAGATAACGGGTGTGACACGACACGACCCGTTAAGATAACAGGTGTTACACGAAAACGACACGAACACGATAGACACGACCCGTTTGCCAGGCCTACCTGTAACATGTGTGAGCACTCAGCCAAGAGGTAACTGAGGGCAATTTTGTGAACATAATGTTCAACATTAGAAAAAAGCAAGGAATAACAGAAAAAACGAAGGGCATTTTCGTGAAAACACTGTTAATGAACAATATTTTTCACTTCAGCTTTACTATAGAGTAATTTGCATTTTATTTAGTCACAGAACATATTTGATTTTAATGCTATTCTTAAAACAGCAATAGACGACTCGCCAAAAATAAAAAACTTTGGTCAACCGAATTATTTTTTTGGGCCAATAACCCATATTTAAATTAGATTTTAATTATCTTAATAAAAAATGGAAAATTTTCTTTCAACATGATTTTTCTCTCTGTTAGGGTCTGCGAAGAAAAACCTTAGAGAAGACCCACTGCCACACCCACAAAAACCCTATCATCGGTTTGATTTTTCGTACTTTTTTTTTAGTATAGCGGTATATTTCATACTAGGGGAAGGAGAAATTCGGTTAAACCACACAAATGACAACTTAATGTGGTATCAAATTCGTCATTCACGAAATTAAAACCTAAAACCTCTCACTTGTAAGTAAAGATCAATGACAAGTTCCTTGTGGTCACTAAGTCCAGTCATTTCTTGGTTTTCAATACTTAAGACTCCATTTCCTTGTTCATCCCTTATTCCCACTTTCTCTCTAAATTTTTCTGTTCTCTAACTTTACTTCTACATTGATCTGAAGGACTTCGTTGTGATCCACCCGTGTGCTTTTGGTCAACTTTGTCTGACGACGACTTTTAGTCGCTCATTAGCGACTCTTATTCGCTATTAGGCGCAGTTGGATCATTGAAAATTGATTCTTCTCCAGATGCCGATGGGACTTCAATTTCGTTCTCATCGCGCTCTGAATTGTAGAAAACCAGAAAACAGTAAATCCTTGTTCAGCAGCACTTGTGCCTGTGAAAATTGATTTTACATCATGGAGTTTATGGCATAACTCAGTGAATTGAGGTTCTGATCTTCATTCATTATATAGGCTAATAAAGCCTCAATGTACAAGTTGACTTTGTATACAGAATATACATATACGGAAGTTATTCTAACAGATATGATTTGTGCAGGATATCAGTCAAAGGGGTTACAAATAAACAGGGATTGCAGCAGGCAGTGATCACAGACAATCAGGAAGCAATCGATCAGAGTAATTATCGTCCATCAGACCCATCGTAAGAAAGATGATTCTCAATTGTTCACAACAACCGCATTCCATCTGCATTTGCCAAAACTTTAATCCCATTCTCATTGGCAGAAGCAGCCAAGAGAGTGCCATCCTTGTTGAGGCGGATAGGAGGGGTAAAGAAGATGAGCAGCTTGGTATTTAAGATTCTATTATTTCAATTTACTTAAAGGAAACGAACCTACTGGGAGGCCTCCATCAGCATCAGCAGTTGTCAGAAGTTGAATATTGTCCATGTCCCAAAATTTAATAAAAAAATCATCACCAGCAGCCAAAAACCGGTCTTTAATAGTATTGAATTGCACAACACCAAAAGAACGCTTGTGAAAGCCTTGATAGGTCCTCTTCACAGCCCCTTCACTTTCATTCCATTCAACAATATATGACTCACCGTCTTTACTTGTCCCACATGAAAATAGCCTGCAACCCACCACCAAAGAAAAACAACAAAAAGAAATAAATAACTATATAGTTTGCCCATCCAGCAAAAGGAAAAAGGAAACTCTGAGCTAAGTATACTAACCTGGTACCATCAGCACTGTAAGCCATGGTTGTGCACCAGCGACCAGGCGCATCATAATCAACTCGACATCCCAAATTGTCATACTCCCAAGCCTTTATCTTTCCATCCAGTGCTATTGAAAAAATAAACTGAAGCATAGCAGCAAACAATGAGCACGAAAAGACAAGGACAGACGGGCACCAGAGACAGAAACACAAGGTGTAATTAGTAAGAAAGAAAAAATAAAAATAAAATGCCACAACACCTGAATGTTTTCCTTATAATGTGGGCAGACAGAATAAACTGGAGCCTCATGACCTTCAAAAGTATATTGTTTTGCACCGGTTGTAGCATCCCACACCTAAATTTATGAAGGAAATCAGCAAGGAACAGAAAATGCTCTTCCAATGGCAATGAGACAAGCAAACATGTTAGGCAACTAACGAACCTTGATGGTCTTGTCATCCCCACAGGTAATCACACAAAGCTGCTCATTGGGATGGGAGAATGACAGATCATTTACTCCACCAACATGTGCATCAATCTACGACAGTAATTTCAGAGTCACCATTAATACAGAAAACTAAGAGACAACAAAAAAAAGGTGTAAAAAATTGAAACAGCATCTTCTGTATATACCTCTAGGTGCTCTCGTACGCCATCACCCCCATGATAAGAATATATTTGAACAATGTGCCTCGAGTAAGCAATACCTATAATTGTATTGTAAATGATACAATAATTAGGATCTAATTCAATCCTTAAAAATTTATAAAGCCATATCACATTTGCCAGAGTTACCTAAGCATGCTCAAGCTTACCAAATAAAGCACCATCAGGGCTCCGATCACATGGTTAACAGACACACAAGGATCCTTAACTACAGCAGCCAGTTTCACAAAGACAAATTTACTTTTCAGTCAACCAACTCATACATCCACAAAGAATACAGTGCACACAATTTTTTATGTCACATGAACAAGCATAGAAAGGGAAAGACCTGCAGGAGCATTGAGCATGAACTAAGATCCCATACTTTGAAGTTCCTTACAACTAGTCGCTCCCTAGATCCAACTTCCCGCAGGCCTACGTCCCCCACATTGGTACCAAATGAAGCATCACATAGAGAACAATCAACAGTCAATTATGAATAGTCTCTTTGAAGTTTCCCTCATCGAGAAACTGCAAGATCAGAAACACAAGCTCCATACTCAGAGACAACATCTTGACCGCCCCCTGTTTGATTCCAAGAAGCGGGTTGTTTGCAGGTGATGGTGCCTGCGCACAGTTCGGTTGTCCACATGGGTGATCCACATAAAGCGTTTTTATTAATGGATTTGGACTTGGGCTTTTACAAAGCCCGTGCTGCCAATTTAAGCTTCAATTTACAGGAGGAGAATTAGTTCTTTCTCAGCAGAACCAGAAAGGCCATAATTTGCACAAATAATAGTTCCTGGTGTGTGGAAACTTCTGACACTGGTCACGAACCAAAAAAAAAAAAATCCTGACACCAGACGCTGGAATCAAGCAGTGATGTACAACCGTCACCAGGCCCCTGTGCTATGTAGCAATGAACCATATACTAAATTAAGATTCAGGCACATGATTTAGGCATTGCAACAATATTAAAGACTTATTTTTGTTTCCACAGAATTCAAGCCATAACCACCTTTTTATAGCCACATAGACAATGTACGTAAACGATGAACTCATTAGCTAGTGCTATCAACTTGATGAAATTGTCATTTGAGTGCAACGGAAGACAAAAGCACTCATTCCATATGTGGAAAAATTAAAGCAAGACCAGTATTTGCAACATCCATAAGTTACGATGAAGTGCACATCTAATCTTATATAACTGAAGTCGTGGTTTCAGAGTAATTACCCTTGGTTAATGAGAGTCCATAGCCTCGAACGCTTTAGGTTTGGGAACTGCAATTTATCACTGAATAAGGGATTTGGGTCAATCAGTTTCTTAAGTTCAACCGACATGATTGCCCTGGCAGACTTTGAATCTCCACACTTGGATAGTTGTTCATTCTCCCCCTATAATGCAAGAGACCATTTTTTAGTACATTTGCTACAACTGTTTTCTACAGAGACTATTCATATAATGGAATTCTCATACCTAAAGTTCTCCAATGTTGAGAGCTGAGCGATTTCCTCCAAAAGTTCATCGAATGCGGCAAAAAAATTTAAATCCTTTACTAGAATATCCACGGCTTGGGACCGATCAGGCCTATAAAGTTCACACAGTCACATTACACGTAATTCAACCATATAATTCCTCAAGATCGGCCATGCAATCCAACCCACGAAAGTTATCAATGAATTGAAATTGAACCACTGTAAGCTTACTTGTCCAATGCCTCGAGGTACTTCTGCTTCCTTATCTCGAAAAAGATAAGAAGTTCACATAGTCACATTACACGTAATTCAACCATATAATTCCTCAAGACCGGCCATGCAATCCAACCCATGAAAGTTATCAATGAATTGAATTGAACCACTGTAAGCTTACTTGTCCAATGCCTCGAGATACTTCTGCGTCCTTATCTCGAAAAAGATTTTCTTGGAATAGCTGTTATCTTCCATTTTAGTGAACCCGGGGAGGTACTTCTCAACTTCATCCCAATTGCCATTATGCACCTCATCCTCAAAATATTTTATATTGAAGAAAACCCCAGATTCCTGCTCTAATATACATAATTAGCTATTGTGCCAACAAAAACGCATTAATTAAAAATACAGAAATCAGCCCTACCTGGTGAGATTTAAAATAGAAGCAGGCAGCTCCTTAATTGCAGTGCCATCCAAATAAAACTCAGATAGATTATTAATAACCTCTGAAATTTCTGGAAACCTCTTAAGCTTTGAGCATCCAGAAACATCAAGGTATTTAAGAGATTTCATGTGAGAAATGCTGCTTGGAAGACTCTCAAGTTCTCTGCAATCATTCAGCTTCAAAGTAACAAGACTGGTGAGATTTAAAATAGAAGCAGGCAGCTCCTTAATTGCAGTGCCATCCAAATAAAGCTCAGATAGATTCTTCATAACCTCTGAAATTTTTGGAAACTTCTCAAGCTTTGAGCATCCAGAAACATCAAGGTATTTAAGAGATTTCATGTGAGAAATGCTGCTTGGAAGACTCTCAAGTTCTCTGCAGTCATTCAGACTCAACGTAACAACACTGGTGAGATTTAAAATAGAGGCAGGCAACTCCTTAATTGCAGTGCCATCCAAATAAAGCACAAATAGCTTCTTCATAACCTCTGAAATTTCTGGAAACTTCTCAAGCTTTGAGCATCCAGAAACATAAAGGTATTTAAGAGATTTCATGTGAGAAATGCTGCTTGGAAGACTCTCAAGTTCTCTGCAATCCATCAGACTCAAAGTATCAAGACTGGTGAGATTTAAAATAGAAGCAGGCAACTCCTTAATTGCAGTGCCACGCAAATAAAGCTCAGATAGATTCTTCATAACCTCTGAAATTTCTGGAAACTTCTCAAGCTTTGAGCATTCAGAAACATAAAGGTATTTAAGAGATTTCATGTGAGAAATGCTGCTTGGAAGACTCTTAAGTTCTCTGCAATCATTCAGCTTCAAAGTAACAAGACTGGTGAGATTTAAAATAGAGGCAGGCAACTCCTTAATTGCAGTGCCATCCAAATAAAGCTCAAATAGCTTCTTCATAACCTCTGAAATTTCTGGAAACTTCTCAAGCTTTGAGCATCCAGAAACATAAAGGTATTTAAGAGATTTCATGTGAGAAATGCTGCTTGGAAGACTCTCAAGTTCTCTGCAATCATTCAGCTTCAAAGTAACAAGACTGGTGAGATTTAAAATAGAGGCAGGCAACTCCTTAATTGCAGTGCCATCCAAATAAAGCTCAAATAGCTTCTTCATAACCTCTGAAATTTCTGGAAACTTCTCAAGCTTTGAGCATCCAGAAACATAAAGGTATTTAAGAGATTTCATGTGAGAAATGTTGCTTGGAAGACTCTCAAGTTCTCTGCAATCATTCAGCTTCAAAGTAACAAGACTGGTGAGATTTAAAATAGAAGCAGGCAGCTTCTTAATTGCAGTGCCACCCAAATAAAGCCCAAATAGATTATTCATAACGTCTGAAATTTCTGGAAACTTCTCAAGCTTTGAGCATCCAGAAACATCAAGGTATTTAAGAGATTTCATGTGAGAAATACGCCTCGGAAGACTCTTAAATTTCTTGCAACCTTGTAGATTCAAGGTAACAAGCCCGGTAAGATTACTAATTGATGAGGGCAGTTCTTTAATTTCAGTACAAACTAAATAAAGCTCTGGTAGATCCTGCATAACATCTGAAACTTCGGGAAACTTTTCGAGGTTTTTGCACCATGAAAGTTTAAGGGTTCTAAGAGATTTCATACCAATCTTGCTTGGAAAAATCTTAAGATTTCTGCAATATTCCAAATCCAAAAGTACCAGGTTTTTGAGAGATGAAATGGATGGGTGAACCTCAAATAAACTTGTACAACTTCGAAAAACTACTTTCTCAAGATTTTTCACCTCCGTGAAGTCAGGAGTTTTCTTCAGGTGAGGAGAACTTGTAAAGTTGATAATTTTCAAATTTTCCAAAGGCTGGTATAACACATCGAGGAAAGCAAGTTATATGGTAAGGCATCTAAGAATTAAGCCATTTAAAAGAAACATATGCAAGTGAAGTTTTTACCTTGGCTCCTTCCCAAAGATGTACAACGAGACTATTTTGCATGTCAAGCTCAACAAGATTCTTCGCAATAAAATTGGACGGTAAAGACTTTAGGGGGAAATGCTTCCATACGAGACTTCTTAACTCATGCAGAACAAACTTTAAATTCTCACATGAATATCCATTGTCGCCGTGGATTTTGAGCAATCTTAATTTCGTCATTTTAACAAAAGCTTCGGAACTGAAGTATACCACTTCTGGTTTTGAGAATGAAAGGTCAAGGATTATGCTTTCAATAGCTTCCGTAGCCTGGATAACAAATAGTTCAAATTATGTGACTGTAGATATCCTGAATCTTATTTAACATTATAAAGTTAATGCATGTTTCTATGAATTGTATTTTGATCAAAGTTAAAGCTGTTTACTCTAAAGATTTACATATGAAAAAGAAGGTCATGAACATATCGCACCGTATTTTGAGTTAGCACGTGATGAACATCTTCATAATTCCACAACCTACTGCGTTTCCCAGGCTCTTTAATAGATTCTTGGCGGACGATTTCCCGACCCATTTCCTCTAGTAAATCATGCATCTTCAGTGTTTCCCGTGAGACAGTTATAAGAGCTCGATCAATTAGAACTCTTAGCCCAGTATGGGGATAAAAGCCACAACTGTCCAGAACCTTTGTTGAGTTGTCTTTTTCCGCTCCTTTAAAGAAACATGCAATATCCAGAAATATGTCCTTCTCAGAATCATCTAGTCCATCGAAGCTTGTTCTTAACACATCATGAATTCCCCTTTGCGGGATTTTCTTTAATTTCTCTAGCACCTCCTCCCACTCCTGCACAGATTTGTTATAAAGAAAAGCCCCCAAGACTTTAAGTGCTAAGGGGAGACCTTGAGCATATCGTACAGCACGGCTTGAGAGAGGGTCATAGTCTCTTTTGGGTTGCTTTGTTCTAAAGGCATACTGGCTAAAGAGTTCCAAAGCTCCATCACCACTTAGAACCTTGGGGCTGTAGATCGCATCAGCTCGACTTAGTACTAGCTTATCTCTAGTGGTGATAATGATTCTACTCCCACCACCAAATGAATGTTGCTTTCCAAGTAAGGTTTCAATTTGAAATAAGTCGTCAACATCATCAAGAACAATCAAAACCTTTTTCATCTGTAGCCTTTGCAAAATCATTCTGTAACCTCGATCCAATGTGCCTAAACTCTGCACCCTTTCATTCAAGATTCTAGATAGAAGTTTTTCCTGCATATGTACGGCACGACAAGCGGAGAACTCTTCCTTGACATTGTCAAGAAAGCAACAAGCTTCAAATTGACAAGCAATTTTCTCATAAACGGCTCTAGCTATGGTGGTTTTGCCTATACCACCCATGCCCCATATTCCAACAGCACGAAAGTCGTCCATTTCAGGAGCAGGATGTAATAGCAAGTCCATTTCATGCATGTGGGATTCCATTTCAACCAAGTCATCGTCTTTACTTGATGAGATGCGGATCAATTTCTGAAAAATATCTTCTACAATTTCCTCAATGAGCTTGGCATCATCCCTGTGGAATAAGAAAAACATTATTGTAAGAGTAAGATCAAGAGCAAGTGCAAACCGTATACATAATCATACATTTGCTAGGAAAACATGACAAAGAATTAAAACTAAACGTTAAAAAAAATCCCAAATTATGAAACTACAATAACTAAATATTACTCGTAATTTCCCGAATCCCAGCCCGATAAATTGGTGGCTCGACTAAGAGCGGACCTCCACCTCCGGACCTCTTCCATGTCGGTGTTAGAATGGCCTTCAAGCTCGGCAAAAGCTTCCTCAAAGCTCCTCTTTGCTTTGCGGACATCAGAAGGATCCACTTCGTAAAAAACGGGCACAACCATCTGGTTCTTTCGATCCATACAATCCAGTATTTGGACGAGCTCCTTCAAGCACCATGTGGAAGAAGCATATTTTTGAGAAAAAACTACGATTGAAACGCGCGAATCTTGGATCGCCGTCAGTAGCTGCGAAAGGTCGTTGCCCTTTCGCAGCCCTTCGGCATCAATGAAGGTGTTGATTGCTTTCTGATTCAGGGCTTTGTAGAGGTGGCTGACGAAGCACCTGCGAGTGTCTTCCCCTCTGAAATTAAGGAACACGTCGTATTTCCAAGGAGAGCCAGAGGAAGAAGAAGATGCAGCAGCAGCCATTAATCGATGGAGTATCTAAGAGTAATGTATGAACTGAAACACTCAATTGATCTTCACACTGATCTTCACATTGAGCTACAAAGGAAGTAATGAGTCAATGACGACCACATCACGCGTTTCTATTTGTTAGGTGCATGTCTTTATCACCTTTTAGAAAAATGAAGAAACTAATGAAAAGCAAAAGCAAGGGACCATCCAGGTAGGAAAGAATCCAAGGAATAATCCTTCAAGTTTGAGAATATGGGTTATTGAAATTTAATTCAACTTACTTGAAAGGGTTTATTTTAAAAATTATAATAAATTTAACCGTTTAACTAAATTTTAATGGTTTAGATTTTCAAACTTGATATATTAAAATGAAAGAATTCGAAAATGATCCAACAAAGGAAAAGCATAAAAATTATAAAGTATCAAAAATTGGTGGACAAAGATTTGCTCCGCATGGGCGAGTGGATGCAACGCGCAAAAGAAAACAATGACAAGTGGGTCCCAAGTCCTAACAGTACAACTGGGGCACACTAATGTACCGGGATGCTTTTCAAGAGTCTAAATAAATCTCATGATGTTGGAGCTCTTCAATTATCTTCGGTGGGACCAGTGCCCATGTGACACATCGTGAGGCAGTGCAAATCAGGCCATTTGGGAACGACTTCTTCAATCCTTTGGGCCTGAACACAATTGGGCCTAGACGGACTTAGTTGTGTCTGAAGAGGAGACTAACGCAATAAATTTCACAGGCATATATACTTGAGAGTTAACATGGTTATTTCTTGGCAAATACCATACTGACCATATTGTAAGAAGTTCAATACTTTTGTCGTTGTCATTAGGCAGCAACATGCCTACAATTACATCTATTATGATATTTTAAGGAAATTGTTATTAGCATTCTAAGAATCTCATTTTACACTCCCTACAAGTCTATTTTTTTTTGTAATTATAAAAAGTTCGGAGTGCAAAATAAAACTTTTAAAGAGCCTATAACAATTCCCTATCTTAATACCGAGTGTCCCTAATGAACCTATATTGGTGTTTTATATTCTTGGAAGCATACAACAAATTCTTTGCATAAAATTGAAATATTATACTTCTCCTTTCTTATATTGAGATAAGTAGTATTGTCAAATGGAAGACAGTGAAACCAACGGATTTATGTTCTATGCAAAATACGACATGTACAATGAAACTAACGGATTTATTGTTCTATGCGAAATACGAGATGTACATACCATGCCACAGATAATGTATCTTCTATTTTCTTGTGTAAATCGAGCTGATATGATATTTAGTGTGAGAAATTAAGTGAATTTAAATCAGTTTCGAATAGAAGAGAAGCATGCTATAAGAAAGCATTCATTTGTAGATTGTATTGTGTCATCAGTATTATACTCATAGTTTCAACTGATCAGCTTACTACATGGGGAAAAACACAAAAAAGGGAAAACAGAAAAGTAGAAGACATAATATTTGAGCATGTAACAGGAATAGTAAGTTTTTGAAAAAATTGCTAGACCGAGAAATTAAATCGTTAAACATCACATTGTGACCCAATATAAAGATAACAGTTTGTTTACAAATCAAAACGAAGCGATATCAAAGGAAAATGTTTAAGATGTTGAAAATACAAAACTGGACTAGGCAACCATATCTTTTTTCCGTAACTAAACGAATAATTTATAATGATACAAACCTCGATCCTGGCTCAACTGGCTCCTCCCATCCTCAACTCTGTATGTCAAAGGCTGAGTAGCCATGTATGCAAAAGTTGTGAAATGATCACCATCTGAAGATTGAGAATAACCCACATTCACATTGCTCAAAATTTTATAGAAAATAGGACAAATTAACATATTTAAAGTATGTATTAGGATGCAAACGTCCTTAAGATAAATGACTTGTAAGTCCTTAGGCCAATTTCACCATGCATTAATGTATGAAAGTCGATCGCACGAGAGCAACCATTCATAGCAGCACTCTTCTAGGTAACCCATACTAACTCAGTACATGGAGCAAGATCTACTCCTTCGACCTTAAGATTAAATGAACTATTAATAGAACAGTGGTTAGTCGATCAAATTCAATACAATTGGATAACATTTTGACTTTAAGCTAAGCACTATATTGCTAAAAAAAAAGTGCCCATATTGTTGTGAATGTAAGAAAAAGGAGTTTGCACTATCCACTGCTCATTTTGCTAAATGAGAGGACTAGAATCTATTCATTTCAAGTAAGTAAAAATCAGAACTGGGAGATCGAGATATCGGATATTGAAAAGTGATTAAATTGCCATCTTAACAATCAATTTAAACTATGTACACCTACATGTATCACATTCGTTCTTAGATAAAAATGAAACTGCTGATGAGATAATCGATTCCTTGTTTATGGCAATTATTACTTAAACTTCTCATGCATACCAGCTTTCAATACTCAACAACATATGGAAATAAGGCCCGATCCAGTAATCTGGAGAGAAGAGGATCCCTGAACCCTTAAAACTCACAAACATCTTTTGGCAAGATAAAATGAGTCAAATTGCCAAAGCACAAACGAAAAAAAATAATGTATTGGGACAATTATTTAAAAACAAATTCCAAACCTTTTGTACAATGAAAGATGGTCTGGGGTTATTGAATTGGCTTTGTTGTGGCCCAATGTCACCTGGAAAAAAATTGTCAATGAGAAGTATTCAATTTTTTTTTTCTTTACTATGCTCAATCATGTGGATGAGCATCGTACTGCTATAATGATGAAAATTATTTGTCAAATTGTTTACCATTTTATCAGAAAATCTTGATATACAAAAAAAAGTAAACTTGTATTGAATGACAATCCTTTAAAATCAATGACCATACTCAGTACAGAAAAATTTCAGTAAATAATTGAATGTAAAACAACAGACAAAACCATTTTAACATAATAGATGTAACTCGTAGACATGTTGCTGCCTAATAACATACTATTAGATTCGATTGTATACCATTTTCTCGGGATCTAGAGCTCGGTGACGATTCCCTCCTCATTTTGCATCTTGTTGATTGAGATTGTAACCCTAGAAACCAAAATCAAACAAACATATATAGAAACATATATTAAAACTTACACGAATCGGAAAGGATTTTGAAGATTCGGAATGTTATGAAGAGAGGAAAACATGATGAAACAGATATGAGAATTTACTGCACTGCTCCAATAGCTGTAGCTGCTCCATTTGTATCTGTTGTTGCTTCCTTGCCTTCATTCCACGACAACATGGCGAAAACGTGTTCAGAAAAATAAAAATGCCCAAAAAACAAGTTTCTTTTTTCCTGAAAAAATATTTCTAAAATAACAAAATCCAAATATAACACAATGAAGGAACCTCAACGTAAGCTGCAGCAGCCTCTGAATGCTTCTCAGTTGCCCTTGCAATGAAAGTGTCTCAACGACAGACCATTTAAAGAGGAATCCTGCAACGACAGACCATTCAAATCTAAGGATTACTCTCCAGAAAATTATTCAAAATATATACTGTAAAATATTCGCAACAAAATCTTAAAAAAAAAAAAAAAAAATACATAACATACTATCAAATCATGTCATCTCGGTGAACGAAATATATGAAATGAAAAAAAAGTACATTCTCATATCACAAAAACATAGTCTCGTACATTTGTTAGTTAAACGGTTAATTCTCCCATTAAGTGATAACGTGGCTCCCATATGAACAATGATTGGACGCCACGTGTTATTAAAAATATTAAAATAATTAATTAAATAAAAGTTATTAAAAAAAAACATAAGTTATTAAAAAAAAAAAAAAAAATCCCCTCCCCCCCCACCCCCAAAAAAAAAACCCAGAAGAAGAAGAAGAAAGAGGAAGAACAAAAAAAAAAAAAAAAAACCGAATTTGCAACCCAGAAGAAGAAGAAGAAAAAGATAAAAAAAAAAATAAAAAAATAAAAAAAAAAAAACCAAATCTGCAACCCAGAAGAAGAAGAAGAATTGAAAAAAAAAACCAAATCTGCAACACAATTTTTAAGTCACATGAACAAGTATAGAAAGGGAAAGACCTGCAGGAGCATTGAGCATGAACTAAGATCCCATACTTTGAAGTTCCTTACAACTAGTCGCTCCCTAGATCCAACTTCCCGCAGGCCTACGTCCCCTACATCCCCACATTGGTACCAAATGAAGCATCACAGAGAACAATCAACAGTCAATTATGAATAGTCTCTCTGCAGTTTCCCTCATCGAGAAACTGCAAGATCAGGAACACAAGCTCCATACTCAGAGACAACATCTTGACCGCCCCCTGTTTGATTCCAAGAAGCGGGTTGTTTGCAGGTGATGGTACCCGCGCACAGTTCGGTTGTCCACATGGGTGATCCACATAAAGCGTTTTTATTAATGGATTTGGACTTGGGCTTTTACAAAGCCCGTGCTGCCAATTTAAGCTTCAATTTACAGGAGGAGAATTAGTTCTTTCTCAGCAGAACCAGAAAGGTCATAATTTGCACAAATAATAGTTCCTGGTGTGTGGAATGACACTGGTTACGAACCCAAAAAAAAAATCCTGACACCAGACGCTGGAATCAAGCAGTGATGTACAACTGTCACCAGGCCCCTGTGCTATGTCGCAATGAACCATATACTAAATTAAGACTCAGGCACATGATTTAGGCATTGCAACAATATTAATGACTTCTTTTTGTTTCCACAGAATTCAAGCCATAACCACCTTTTTATAGCCACATAGACAATGTACGTAAACGATGAACTCATTAGCTAGTGCTATCAACTTGATGAAATTGTCATTTGAGTGCAACGGAAGACAAAAGCACTCATTCCATGTGGAAAAATTAAAGCAAGACCAGTATTTGCAACATCCATAAGTTACGATGAAGTGCACATCTAATCTTATATAACTGAAGTCGTGGTTTCAGAGTAATTACCCTTGGTTAATGAGAGTCCATAGCCTCGAACGCTTTAGGTTTGGGAACTGCAATTTATCACTGAATAAAGGATTTGGGTCAATCAGTTTCTTAAGTTCAACCGACATGATTGCCCTGGCAGACTTTGAATCTCCACACTTGGATAGTTGTTCATTCTCCCCCTATAATGCAAGAGACCATTTTTTAGTACATTTGCTACAACTGTTTTCTACAGAGACTATTCATATAATGGAATTCTCACACCTAAAGTTCTCCAATGTTGAGAGCTGAGCGATTTCCTCCAAAAGTTCATCGAATGCGGCAAAAAAATTTAAATCCTTTACTAGAATATCCACGGCTTGGGACCAATCAGGCCTATAAAGTTCAGTCACATTACACATAATTCAACCATATAATTCCTCAAGATCGGCCATGCAATCCAACCCACGAAAGTTATCAATGAATTGAAATTGAACCACTGTAAGCTTACTTGTCCAATGCCTCGAGGTACTTCTGCTTCCTTATCTCGAAAAAGATAAGGCCTATAAAGTTCACACAGTCACATTACACGTAATTCAACCATATAATTCCTCAAGACCGGCCATGCAATCCAACCCATGAAAGTTATCAATGAATTGAAATTGAACCACTGTAAGCTTACTTGTCCAATGCCTCGAGATACTTCTGCTTCCTTATCTCGAAAAAGATTTTCATGGAATAGCTGTTATCTTCCATTTTAGTGAACCCGGAGAGGTACTTCTCAACTTCATCCCAATTGCCATTATGCACCTCATCCTCAAAATATTTCATATTGAAGAAAACCCCAGATTCCTGCTCTAATATACATCACAAAAGCAATTAATGACGCAGTATATCAGTACATAATTAGCAATTGTGCCAACAAAAACGCATTAATTAAAAATACAGAAATCAGCCCTACCTGGTGAGATTTAAAATACAAGCAGGCAGCTCCTTAATTGCAGTGCCATCCAAATAAAGCTCAGATAGATTATTCATAACCTCTCAAATTTCTGGAAACTTCTCAAGCTTTGAGCATCCAGAAACATCAAGGTATTTAAGAGATTTCATGTGAGAAATGCTGCTTGGAAGACTCTCAAGTTCTCTGCAATCATTCAGACTCAAAGTAACAACACTGGTGAGATTTAAAATAGAGGCAGGCAGCTCCTTAATTGCAGTGCCATCCAAATAAAGCTCAGATAGCTTCTTCATAACCTCTGAAATTTCTGGAAACTTCTCAAGCTTTGAGCATCCAGAAACATAAAGGTATTTAAGAGATTTCATGTGAGAAATGCTGCTTGGAAGACTCTCAAGTTCTCTGCAATCATTCAGACTCAAAGTAACAACACTGGTGAGATTTAAAATAGAGGCAGGCAGCTCCTTAATTGCAGTGCCATCCAAATAAAGCTCAGATAGCTTCTTCCTAACCTCTGAAATTTCTGGAAACTTCTCAAGCTTTGAGCATCCAGAAACATAAAGGTATTTAAGAGATTTCATGTGAGAAATGCTGCTTGGAAGACTCTCAAGTTCTCTGCAATTATTCAGCTTCAAAGTAACAAGACTGGTGAGATTTAAAATAGAGGCAGGCAGCTCCTTAATTGCAGTGCCCTCCAAATAAAGCTCAGATAGCTTCTTCATAACCTCTGAAATTTCTGGAAACTTCTCAAGCTTTGAGCATCCAGAAACATAAAGGTATTTAAGAGATTTCATGTGAGAAATGCTGCCTGGAAGACTCTCAAGTTCTCTGCAATCATTCAGCTTCAAAATAACAAGACTGGTGAGATTTAAAATAGAAGCAGGCAGCTCCTTAATTGCAGTGCCATCCAAATAGAGCATAACTAGTCTGTTCATAACCTCTGAAATTTCTGGAAACTTCTCAAGCTTTGAGCATCCAGAAACATAAAGGTATTTAAGAGATTTCATGTGAGAAATGCTGCTTGGAAGACTCTCAAGTTCTCTGCAATTATTCAGACTCAAAGTAACAAGACTGGTGAGATTTAAATTAGAAGCAGGCAGCTCCTTAATTGCAGTGCCATCCAAATAAAGCTTAAATAGCTTCTTCATAACCTCTGAAATTTCTGGAAACTTCTCAAGCTTTGAGCATCCAGAAACATAAAGGTATTTAAGAGATTTCATGTGAGAAATGCTGCTTGGAAGACTCTCAAGTTCTCTGCAATCATTCAGCTTCAAAGTAACAAGACTGGTGAGATTTAAAATAGAAGCAGGCAGCTCCTTAATTGCAGTGCCATCCAAATAAAGCTCAAATAGATTCTTCATAACCTCTGAAATTTCTGGAAACTTCTCAAGCTTTGAGCATCCAGAAACATCAAGGTATTCAAGAGATTTCATGTGAGAAATGCTAATTGGAAGACTCTCAAGTTCTCTGCAATCATTCAGACTCAAAGTAACAAGACTGGTGAGATTTAAAATAGAAGCAGGCAGCTCCTTAATTGCAGTGCCAACCAAATAAAGATAAGATAGAGATTTCATGTGAGAAATGCTGCTTGGAAGACTCTCAAGTTCTCTGCAATCATTCAGCTTCAAAGTAACAAGACTGGTGAGATTTAAAATAGAAGCAGGCAGCTCCTTAACTGCAGTGCCATCCAAATAAAGCTCATATAGATTCTTCATAACCTCTGAAATTTCTGGAAACTTCTCAAGCTTTGAGCATCCAGAAACATCAAGGTATTCAAGAGATTTCATGTGAGAAATGCTGCTTGGAAGACTCTTAAATTTTTTGCAACCTTGTAGATTCAAGGTAACAAGCCCCGTAAGATTACTAATTGACGAGGGCAGTTCTTTAATTTCAGTACGATATAAATAAAGCTCTGGTAGATCCTGCATAACATGTGAAACTTCGGGAAACTTATCGAGGCTGCCGCAACATGAAAGTTTAAGGGTTCTAAGAGATTTCATACCAATCTTGCTTGGAAAAATCTTAAGATTTCCGCAATATTCGAAATCCAAAAGAACCAGTTTTTTGAGATATGAAATGGATGGGTGAACCTCAAATAAACTTTTACAACTTCCAAAAACTACTTTCTCAAGATTTTTTGCCTCCGTGAAGTCAGGAGTTTTCTTCAGGTGAGGAGAACTTGTTAAGTTGATGATTTTCAAATTTTCTAGAGGCTGGTATAACACATCAAGGAAAACAAGTTATATGGTAAGGCATCTAAGAATTAAACCATTTAAAAGAAACATACGCAAGTGAAGTTTTTACCTTGGCTCCTTCCCAAAGATGTTCAACGAGACTATTTTGCATGTCAAGCTCAACAAGATTCTTCGCAATAAAATTGGACGGTAAAGACTTTAGGGGGAAATGCTTCCATACGAGACTTCTTAACTCATGCAGAACAAACTTTAAATTCTCACATGAATATCCATTGTCGCCGTGGATTTTGAGCAATCTTAATTTCGTCATTTTAACAAAAGCTTCGGAACTGAAGTATACCACTTCTGGTTTTGAGAATGAAAGGTCAAGGATTATGCTTTCAACAGCTTCCGTAGCCTGGATAACAAATAGTTCAAATTATGTGACTCTAGATATCCTGAATCTTATTTAACATTATAAAGTTAATGCATATTTCTATGAATTGTATTTTGATCAAAGTTAAAGCTGTTTACTCTAAATATTTACATATGAAAAAGAAGGTCATGAACATATCGCACCGTATTTTGAGTTAGCACGTGATGAACATCTTCATAATTCCACAACCTACTGCGTTTCCCAGGCTCTTTAATAGATTCTTTGCGGACGATTTCACGACCCATTTCCTCTAGTAAATCATGCATCTCCAGTGTTTCCCGTGAGACAGTTATAAGAGCTCGATCAATTAGAACTCTCAGCCCTGTATGGGGATAAAAGCCACAACTGTCCAGAACCTTTGTTGCGTTGTCTTTTTCCGCTCCTTTAAAGAAACATGCAATATCCAGAAATATGTCCTTCTCAGAATCATCTAGTCCATCGAAGCTTGTTCTTAACACATCATGAATTCCCCTTTGCGGGATTTTCTTTAATTTCTCTAGCACCTCCTCCCACTCCTGCACAGATTTGTTATAAAGAAAAGCCCCCAAGACTTTAAGTGCTAAGGGGAGACCTTGAGCATATCGTACAGCACGGCTTGAGAGAGGGTCATAGTCTCTTTTGGGTTGCTTTGTTCTAAAGGCATACTGGCTAAAGAGTTCCAAAGCTCCATCACCACTTAGAACCTTGGGGCTGTAGATCGCATCAGCTCGACTTAGTACTAGCTTATCTCTAGTGGTGATAATGATTCTACTCCCACCACCAAATGAATGTTGCTTTCCAAGTAAGGTTTCAATTTGAAATAAGTCGTCAACATCATCAAGAACAATCAAAACCTTTTTCATCTGTAGCCTTTTCAAAATCATTCTGTAACCTCGATCCAATGTTCCTAAACTCTGCACCTTTTCGTTCAAGATTCTAGAGAGAAATTTTTCCTGCATATGTACGGCACCACAAGTGGAGAACTCTTCCTTGACATTGTCAAGAAAGCAACAAGCTTCAAATTGACAAGCAATTTCCTCACAAACAGCTCTAGCTATGGTGGTTTTGCCTATACCACCCATACCCCATATTCCAACAACACGAATGTCGTCCATTTCAGGAGCAGGATGTAATAGCAAGTCCATTTCATGCATGTGGGAATCCATTTCAACCAAGTCATCGTCTTTACTTGACGAGGCGCGGATCAATTTCTGGAAAATATCTTTTACAATTTCCTCAATGAGCTTGGCATCATCCCTGTGGAATAAGAAAAACATTATTGTAAGAGTAAGATCAAGAGCAAGCGCAAACCGTATACATAGTCATACATTTGGTAGGAAAACAGGACAAAGAATTAAAACTAAACGTTAAAATAAAATATAAAAAATCCCAAATTATGAAACTACTATAGCTAAAAATTACTCGCAATTTTTCGAATCCCAGCCGGTTAAATTGGTGGCTCGAGTAAGAGCGGACCTCCACCTCCGCACCTCTTCCATGTCGGCGTTAGAATGGCCTTCATGCTTGGCAAAAGCTTCCGCAAAGCTGCTCTCTGCTTTGCGGACATGAGAAGGATCCACTTCGTAAAAAACGGGCACCACCATCTGGTTCTTTCTATCCATACAATCCAGTATTTGGACGAGCTCCTTCAAGCACCATGTGGAAGAAGCATATTTTTGAGAAAAAACTACGATTGAAACGCGCGAATCTTGGATCGCCGTCAGTAGCTGCGAAAGGTCGTTGCCCTTTCGCAGCCCTTCGGCATCAATGAAGGTGCTGATTGCTTTCTGATTCAGGGCTTTGTAGAGGTGGCTGACGAAGCACCTGCGAGTGTCTTCCCCTCTGAAATTGAGGAACACGTCGTATTTCCAAGGAGAGCCAGAGGAAGAAGATGCAGCGGCAGCCATTAATCGATCTAGTATCTAAGAGTAATGTATGAACTGAAACACTCAATTGATCTTCACACTGATCTTCACATTGAGCTACAAAGGAAGTAATGAGTCAATGACGACCACATCACGCGTTTCTAGCTGTTGAAGTCAATGACGACCAGATCACGCGTTTCTATTTTCTAGGTGCAGTTTCTATTTTCTAGGTGCTTGTCTTTATCACCTTTTAGAAAAATGAAGAAACTAATGAAAAGCAAAAGCAAGGGACCATCCAGGTCGGAAAGAATCCAAGGAATAATCCTTTAAGTTTGAGAACGTGGGTTATTGAAATTTAATTCAACTTACTTGAAAGGGTTTATTTTTAAAATTATAATAAATTTAACTGTTCAACTGAATTTTAATGGTTTAGATTTTCGAATTTGATAGATGAAAATGAAAGAATCTGAAAATGATCCAACAAAGGAAGAGTATAAAAATTATAAAGTATCAGAAATTGGTGGACAAAGATTTGCTCTGCATGGGCGAGTGGATGCAACGCACAAAAGAAAACAACGACAAGTGGGTCCCAAGTCCTAACAGTACAACTGGGGCACACATCACAAGGGGTAATGTCCCGGGATGCTTTTCAAGAGTCTAAATAAATCTCATGATGTTGGAGCTCTTCAATTATCTTCAGTGGGACCAGTGCCCATGTGACACACCGTGAGGTGGTGCAAATCAGGCCATTTGGGAACCGACTTCTTCAATCCTTTGGGCCTGAACACAATTGGGCCTAGACAGACTTAGTTGTGTCTGAAGAGGAGACTAACGCAATAAATTTCACGGGCGTATATACTTGAGAGTTAACATGGTTATTTCTTGGCAAATACCATACTGACCATATTGTAAGAAGTTCAATACTTTTGTCGTTGTCATTAGGCAGCAACATGCCTACAGTTACATCTATTATGATATCTTAAGGAAACTGTTATTAGCACTCTAAAAATTTCATTTTACACTCCCTATAAGTCTATTCTTCTTTCTAATTATAAAAAGTTCGGAGTGCAAAATAAAACTTTTAAATAGCCTATAACAATTCCCTATCTTAATACTGAGTGTCCCTAATGAACCTATATTGGTGTTTTATATTCTTGGAAGCGTACAACAAATTCTTTGCATAAAATGGAAATATTATACTTCTCCTTTCTTATATTGAGATAAGTAGTATTGTCAGAAGGAAGACAATGAAACCAACGGATTTATGTTCTATGCAAAATACGACATGTACAATGAAACTAACTGATTTATTGTTCTATGCAAAATATGAGATGTACATACCATGCCACAGATAATGTATCTTTTATTTTCTTGTGTAAATCGAGCTGATATGATATTTAGTGTGAGAAATTAAGTGAATTTAAATCAGTTTCGAATAGAAGAGAAGCATGCTATAAGAAAACGTTCATTTGTAGATTGTATTGTGTCATCAGTATTATACTCATAGTTTCAACTGATCAGCTTACTGCATGGGGAAAAACACAAAAAAGGGAAAACAGAAAAGTAGAAGACATAATATTTGAGCATGTAACAGGAATAGTAAGCTTTTGAAAAAATTGCTAGACCGAGAAATTAAATCGTTAAACATCACATTGTGACCCAATATAAAGATATAGTTTGTTTACAAATCAAAACGAAGCGATATCAAAGGAAAATGTTTAAGATGTTGAAAATACAAAACTGGACTAGGCAACCATATCTTTTTTTCGTAACTAAACGAATGATTTAGAATGATACAAACCCTGATCCTGGCTCACCTGGCTCCTCCCATCCTCAACTCTATATGTCAAAGGCTGAGTAACCATGTTTGCAAAAGTTGTGAAATGATCACCATCTAAAGATTGAGAATAACTCACATTCACATTGCTTAAAATTTTATAGAAAATAGGACAAATTAACATATTTAAATTATGTATTAGGATGCAAACATTCTTAAGATAAATTAAGCAAAAAGGAAAGCGGGTACGCCGCCCATGGCATTTCTAATCACCAAGACAAACTTCTGGACGCCATGTGATTGAATCCAAAATCATTATGACAACAATAATATAATACAAAAAGATATTCATCCGGCTGTTTCTTAATTTCTTGAATTTCCTAAGTAAGTTTTCCTTGTTGATTCTATTTCTCTATCAATAGGAAAAAAAAAATGTAACTTGATTCTTGGTAATGAGCACATACAGTTGCTTAATAACATTTAACAATTAGAGTAGGGTAAAGACACTCCAATCAGGTCCACGGTGCTTCAATCTATCAAATCCATTCGTACATTTCGAGTAGGATGAATCGCTTACCTTCTAGAAAAGCAGGGGAACGCTGGTGGTGGGACGTGATTCGCTGGATTTGAGAGCAACAGAAGGCTCTCCCCCGCATTTTCCCTGCATTCCATCTCCATCATCAAATTGAAGTTCATTTCTATTTATTTCAGCTGAAAATAATAAAAATGAATAAACATTTCTAAAAATTAAATTAAACTTCAAGTTGCAGACAGTTTGACTTGAAGAGCTTCAGCTGAAGCTAAGTAGGCTTACAGTGGGTGAATCAAAAGGATAAAGACACTGCAATTTTCAGCTTCATACCAAAGGATAGACAAAGCACGATAGTATGCTGCGAACGAATTGTTCAATCCAGCTGAAAGAAAAAGTTGCAGGACAAAGATGTTCACCTATTAATTTAGATCAAATAACCATATATCTTCACATCATCACCAAAAGAGTTATTAAAGGAATGATAACCATGAAAAGTCATAGGCATTCTATCAACAACATAAATTTACCAAGTTCACAACTCTGATCAAATCCGTTAAGAAAATTTACCAAATCAAAAGTTCATACAACGAAATCTGACTTCAAGCCCAATTCTTCATTTTGAAAATTGAATGCATATGAGTTTTCTAAGAAACACAAATTTCGTTTTTGTTTTAATCAGTAGATTCATGCCAAGCTTGCAAAATTACCTGTGCCACAAATTCTTGTTCTACACCGGTGCCCACAGCAGCTTCTTACTCTGTTGTAGCTTTCCATCTTGCAATTTCTTCTTCACCAGAGCAATTGTGCATCATTAGCCTTCCAAGCTACACACATAATGCCATGAGTCTTCCAATTATTTCGATTTAATTTAAAATAAATCAATTTAATTTCTTAGTATAACATATCCATGCTACACGATCAGCACCTTATTTTAGTAAAACAAAAACAAAAGATGGTAGAAATTGATATAATTATTGTGGCCAGCTAATTTTGCAATTGACATAATTATTGCAAATTGGAAAAACAGGTTGGTGCCAGGAATTACTAATGCAATAGTTGTGGCAACCGCTAGAAAATATGAATGAAACTTCTCAACATTTGAGCATCCAGAATCATCTAGATTTTCTAAGAGATTTCATGTGAGAATTGTTGCTTGGAAAACTTTCAAGTTCTCAGCAGATAGTTTATTCATGACCTCTGAATTTTCTGGAAACGTCTCAAGATTTGAGCATCCAGAAATATCAAGGTATTGAAGAGATTTCATTTGACAAATGCTGCTTGGAAGACTCTCAAGTTCTCTGCAATCATCTAGCCTCACACTAACAAGATTGGTGAGATTTAAAACTGACGCAGGCAGTTCCTTAATTGCAGTGCCACCCAAATAAAGCTCAGATAGCTTATTCATATCCTTAGAAATTTCTAGAAACTTCTCAAGGTTTGAGCATCCAAAAACATCAAGGTCTTGAAGAGATTTCATGTGACAAATGCTGCTTGGAAGACTCTCAAGTTCTCTACAATCATTCAGCTTCAAAGTAACAAGTCCATTTCATGCACGTGGGAATCCATTTAAACGAAGTCATCGTCTTTACTTGACGAGGTGCGGATCAATTTCTGAAAAATATCTTTTACAATTTCCTCAATGAGCTTGGCATCATCCCTGTGGAATAAGAAAAACATTATTGTAAGAGTAAGATCAAGAGCAAGTGCAAACCGTATACATGGTCATACATTTGCTAGGAAAACATGACAAAGAATTAATAATAAACGTTAAAAAAAAAATCCCAAATTACGAAACTACAATAACTAAATATTACTCTTAATTTTTCGATTCCCAGCCGGATAAATTGGTGGCTCGACTAAGTAGCGGACCTCCACCTCCGCACCTCTTTCATGTCGGTGTTAGAATGGCCTTCATGCGCGGCAAAAGCTTCCTCAAAGCTCCTCTTTGCTTTGCGAACATCGAAAGGATCCACTAGTAAAAAACGGGCACAACCATCTGGTTCTTTCCATCCATACATTCTAGTATTTGGACGAGCTCCTTCAAGCACCATGTGGAAGAAGCATAGTTTTGAGAAAAGAACTACGATTGAAACATGCAAATCTTGGATCGCCGTCAGGAGCTGCGAAAGGTGGCTGCAGAAGAGAATGCTTGAATGGAATAATTGTATGTTTCATTGATACGTGAAAAAGAAATATATACAGTTGATATGCACAATCGACTCCATAGAAATTGGAGTTGACTTCCTAACTAGGCAAATACATAAAAAAGCTAAGTAAACAAATAATTAGGGATTTGTTTTGATTGAGATGTTCTGACTGAGATCTCATTGATTTGTCAACACTCCCCCTCAAGTTGGTGCATATATGTCACTCATGCACAACTTGTCTAAGAAACTTGAAAACTTATGACTTGAAACAGTTTTCGTGAGAATATCTGCCAACTGATCCTTCGTTCTAATTGATGGTACTTCAATTATTTTTCCTTGCAATTTTTCCTTGATAAAGAATCTATCAACTTCAACATGCTTCGTTCTATCGTGTTGTACCGGATTATGTGCAATGTCTGGGCAGCTTTATTATCACAAAATAATTTCATAGGTTGATCATTTTTAATCCCCAAATCCTGCAATAGAAGTCTTAGCCACAAAATTTCACAAATTCCAAGGGCCATTCCTCTGTATTCGACTTCTGCACTCGAACGGGCAACCACATTCTGCTTTTTACTCTTCCATGTAACCAAGTTACCCCCAACAAATGTAAAGTAGGCTGATGTTAAGCGTCTATCATCAACTGAACCTGCCCAATCTGCATCAGTATAACCTTCAACTCCAAGATGCTTATTTCTTTTAAACAAAATCCATTTCCCTGGACTTCCCTTCAAATATCGCAAAATCCTCATCACTGCATTCATATGTTGTTCTCCGGGATCATGCATGTATTGACTCACTACACTCAAGGCATAAGCAAGGTCCGGTCTTGTGTGTGCTAAGTACATTAAACGGCCTACTAACCTCTGGTATCTCCTTTGTCAACTGATACTTGATTTGGATTAACACAAAGCTTTAATCCTTCCTCTAATGGTGTAGATACTGGCTGAGAAGTTGACATGCCGGTTTCATGCAACAAATCGATAATGTACTTTCTCTGAGACAAGAAAATTCCCGAATTGCTTCTCGATACCTCAATCCCTAAAAAATATTTCAGGGATCCAAGGTCTTTCATCTCAAATTCAGTAGACAAGTACCTCTGTAAGGTCACACGTTCTTCCGGGTCATTTCATGTTACCACCATATCATCTACATACACAATAAGTGCAGTAAGCTTCCCATTTCGTCTTTTCAAGGACAAAGTATGATCAGAGTTACTTTACCTATAACCAAATGCTCTCATTGATTTTGTGAATCTTCCAAACCATGCTCGCGAGGGCTGCTTCAAACCATACAAAGATTTCTTCAACCTACACACCTTTCTTTTGTATTTATTTGGAGTATTACATCCTGGTGGAAGATCCATATAAATCTCTTCTGTCAAATCTCCATGTAAGAAAGCATTCTTCACATCGAACTGTTGTAAGGGCCAATTGAGATTTGCAGCCAAGGACAACAAAACTCGAACTGTGTTAATCTTGGCCACAGGTGCAAATGTATCTGTATAGTCTATTCCATATTTTTGAGTGTACCCTTTTGCTACTAGTCTTGCCTTGAAGCGATCCACCGTCCCATCAGCTTTATACTTCACAATATAAACCCATTTGCATCCCACAGGTTTCTTACCAGTTGGCAAGTCTGTGATCTCCTAGGTGGCATTCTTCTTCAAAGACTTCAACTCTTCATTCATTACTGCTTACCAACGTGGATCGACTAAAGCCTCATGCACATTGTTAGGAATAGATACAGTAGATAATTGATACACAAGCGACCTATTTGAGTTTGACAGGTGACTGGTGGACACATAATTACGTAATAGATATAACACATTAGACTCAGGGTTGGGCTTATTCACCAAATACCTAGTTTTTCACTTAAGATCAGCTTCGTAAGTGGGTTTAGGAATACCTCGGTTGACATGGTTAGGGAGATTACATGGTAGTGGTGGTGGTGCATCCGGAATTGAAGGCGATTGATTATGGTTATTGGGGCTTAAAGATGGTGAAGCCAACTGTGAGGGTAGCGAGGAAGTTGGTGGTGCAGAAGTTGGTAATGAGCTGTTTGGCGACGTAGGCTAGTCTCTTTCAAGGTTTTCAACATTATTTTCATGTGAATGATCACCACTTGTCTCCAATGAATTACCATTTAATTCCAAGTCATTGACATTAGTTTCATGTGAATGATCACCACTTGTCTCCAAGACATCACCACTTGAATCCAAATCATTCACAATAACTGTATCCGGGATACTATAATCAAGAGTTTGAACTTCTGTCTGATTCTCCCCCTGAAATGAAGACTCGAGGTTGCCATAATACATATCATTATCATGAAATGCAGCATCCACAGTGACGAACAACTTTTTCGTTGGAGGGTGATAACATCGGTATCCCTTTTGATGTAAGGCATACCCCACAAACACACATCGCAAGGCTTGAGGTTCAAGCTTACTCCTCTGCTGCTTATGAAGATGAATGAATGCCACACAACTAAACACGTGAGGTGGGAGATTGGGAACTACAGAAATATCGACATGGGAGGCAAGAACCTGAAACGGTGTCTGAAAATTAACCGATCGAGAGGAAACACGATTAATGAGATATGCAGCTGAAGTGAGAGCTTCTTCCCAATAGGATAACGGAAGACGAGCCTTAAGCAAGGAAGCACGAACAACTTCCAGAAGCTGACAGTTCTTACGTTCTGCAACCCCATTTTGTTGAGGAGTGTTTGGACATGTAGATTGATGAACAATACCATGATGATCAAGAAATGCATGAAGCTCATTGTTCACATACTCGCCGCCATTATCACTCCTGAGAACCTGTATTTGTAACTTATATTGTACTTGCACTATTTTGTGAAATCGCTGAAACAAAGAAGTAACTTCATTTTTTGGACTTCATCAAACAAACCCAAGTCATACATGTGCAATCATCAATAAAAGTAACGAACCAATAAGCCCCACCAAATGTAGCAGTTTTAGATGGTCCCCAAACATCAGAATGAATTATCATAAGAGGAACAGAACTTTTAGTCATACTAGGCGAAAACGAAGTACGATGACTTTTAGCCAGTTCACAAACACCACATTTAAAGCTAGAAACATCATGCTTAACAAATAAGCTGGGAAACAACCTCCGTAAATAACCGAAAGAAGCATGCCCAAGTCGACAATGCCACAACCAAACCTCCGAAGCTTTATTCTTCTCCCCCTGAGATCCTTCCACTACAAGAGCTTGAGTCAACATTCCGATACTGTTCGATGTCAGCTCCAAGTAGTAGAGCTTGCCCTTCCTGATACCATAACCAATCGTCTTGCGAGTCCGAATATCCTTAAAAACACAAAAAAAAGGCCAAAAAAATCACAAAGTAATGTAGGGCGATAGTGATTTGAGCAACTGATAATAAATTATAGTTAAGGGAAGGAACAACAAGTACGGAATCAAGATTAAGAGTATCAGAAAGGGAGACAGTGCCTTCCCCAATAATGGGGACAACATAACCATTGGCAACACTTACGATAGTTTTGGTGGATGGTTTTAGGATTTGTACCTATCTAGAATCACAAGTCATATGTTCAGTAGTACTAGAATCAATTATCAATGTATTATTCGTAACAAATGCAGAAATCCTTAAAGCATTACCATCGTTATATGTATGTTCAGAAGCTACCTTATTTTTTACAATTAGTGCACGAGTCTGGACTACCATTGCTCTGGATGAATTTGGTGCAATGTGTTCGTGTGATTGATAAGGTCGAAACTTCCAAACAAAGGTCCTACAAGACAAACAGAGACCCAAAAGTCAACAAATTTCTTTTCTTTTCTTTTTTCCCTTTTTTTTTTCCTGTTTTCTTCCTTCTTCCCCTTTTTCTATTATTTTTTTCTTTTTTTCTTCTTTCTTTACTTCTTCACCCGTCCATCCTCATTTTCTTTTCTTCAAACAGCAAGTTTTTTTTCCCTTTTTTCCGCAACAGCACATCAATCCTTTTTTCCTATTTTGCAACAGCAAGCATTTTTCTGCTGTTCTTCAAACAGCAACAAGCGGGTCAGAGTCTGGGTTCAATCGAATCTGGGCACGCAAAACAGATTCGCAGGTCGAAATCTGGGACAAATTTCAGGCAGCGGGTTGAATCTCGGTTCGTGGTGGTGGATGCAGGGAGCGGCTCGGTGAACTCGGATCAGCAACGATGGCGTCGATCGCTGGTCGGATGGCGCACTGCACAACTGGGTGCGTGGCTGGTAGTTCGGGTTCTCGGGTCAGCAACGACGGCGTCATTCGCTGGTCGAACGGTGCTGCACAATTGGCTGCGCGGCTGTTAGTTATGGTTTTCCGCACAGAGCACGGTCTCGTCTCCTTTTTGTTTTTTTATGTGTTTTTTCTCAAAACCTAGGCTCTGATACCAAGAAGAGAATGCTTGAATGGAATAATTGTATGTTTCATTGATACGTGAAGGAGATATATATACAGTTGATATGCACAATCGACTCCATAGAAATTAGAGTTGACTTCCTAACTAGGCAAATACATAAAAAAAAAGCTAAGTAAACAAATAATTAGGGATTTGTTCTGATTGAGATTTCATTGATTTGTCAACAGCTGCCTTTTCGGAGCTCTTGGGCATCGATGAAGGTGTTGATTGCTTTCTGATTCAGGGCTTTGTAGAGGTGGCTGACGGAGCACCTGCGAGTGTCTTCCCCTCTGAAATTGATGAACACGTCGTATTTCCAAGGAGAGCCAGAGCAAGAAGAAGATGCAGCAGCAGCAGTAGCAGCCATTAATCGATCGAGTATCTAAAGAGTAACGTAATAGATCAATGACGACCAGATCACGCGTCGCTATTTTCTAGGTGCACGTCTTTAGCAAAAAGAAGAAACAAATGAAAGGCAAAAGCATATAGGGGACCATCAGGGCCACTACTCAAGGCAAAAGCATAAAAATTCTAGAGTATCACATATTGATGGACCAAAGATTTGCTCCGCATGGGCGAGCGGATGCAACGCGCGCGCGAAGAAAGCAGTGACAAGTGGGTCCAACAGTACATTTGGGGCACACATCACAAGGGGTAATGTAACAGGATGCTTATCAAGAGTCCACATAAACAGATTTTACTAGAAAATGTGTCTGCGCTTTGTTCCGGGAAATTAAATGTACTAGTCACAACAGGCTAGGAGCAGAATCACAATGCAGATAACACACATTAACTGCCCCCTTATATAAACTGCATGCCAAAATGCGCAAACAAACATTTGCATATTCCTTCAAAGAAAATTTCTAGGCCTTTGTTATATTATGTATTAAAGAGAACCAAACTTTATCCCTCAAACACTAAATTTGTTCACTTTAGTTACAATCCCTGTGCAAGGATTGTAAAACTCAAAAGCTTACTGTTCAAAACCAAAAACAATTTGTACCATTTACATGCTTGTGCAACATATGTCTTGCACTGGAAAAACGTCTAAAATCGAATACAAATTTGTAAATCATAGATAGATTTTGTTCTCATTTTTATAATCAATTAGCAAGTAAAATTACAAACTTGCAGCAACCAGAGAGAGCAGAAATTAAGATGTAGAGATATCCCAAACATACAACATATTGTATGGAAGCTAACTATAGAGGTTTGTGAAAGCAAGCTACAGCATGAGTTGAAGCCTCTTGAACAAATTGGAGATACTTTAGCCTCGGTTCCTCCTCCTCAGTCTAAAAAATTACAAAAACATAGCACCTTAACTAAAAAAATGCATGATGAAATAGATTCATAGTTTTCATGCATCAATTGGTAACAAAACTGTATAAGAGATGGGCATATTAAGTAGTTTTCGGTTGTGTTTGTAATACTGTGCTTATTATTTTATTCATTGTACTGTGATTGCGTTAGAATATTGCTACTCACTCTTCATACCTAAAACTTTGACCAATACATCACTCAAAAAGATTTTAAGAATTTTAGAGATGTATACATCTGTCAGCCGGCTCACATCAAATTTCCAGATGTTGTTTACCATCAGCTAAAGTTCTATCTTTTATCTGTAATGCCACCTCATTTTACATTATATATTAATATTGCACAGTAATTTCGAGAGTTAAAACGAAAAACTTAAATCCATACCATGACGTACATGTACATACACATTCGATAAGATACTTAATCATCTATATAATGACAACATCCCAGAGGCATTCATTTAATTTACAAACAATAATTCTTAGGAGGAGTTTAAATTGACAATATATTATGACTCTTAAAAAATTTCCACCCTTAATGCATAATTCCCTCATCACCATATGACTCATTGAACACGCTTCCCAAAGAGAAATATTAGCATATTTGATAAAATATGAACCTGCGAGGGTTTCGTGGGTTTTAGGGTTTAAGCCATGAGAGAGTATTGAAGATGGTTTTGTATATTTGCTTAATGAAACAATTACAAGATGAAACATATATATAGGGAAGAAAAAGAACATAAGCCTAATTTTGCCTAACTTGCCTAACTTGCCTAACTTGACTAACCTAACTTGCCTAACTTTGAACAAGAAAATTGACTAGCCTACCATTATTCCAACATGTTTATTTCATGCATTTTAATTGCTTAATACTCCCCCTCAAGGTGGAATGTGAATGTCAATCACACCCATCTTGCCAAGTAATGAGTGAAACATCCCTTGTCCAAGCGGCTTGGTAAATATATCAGCCAACTGTGCTCCAGTACGAACGTAGGCTGTCATGATAACCCTTGATTGAATATGTTCACGAACAACATGGCAATCGATTTCTATGTGTTTGGTACGCTTGTGGAACACGGGATTGGCTGCTATATAAAGAGCCGCTTGATTGTCACAATGCAGTTTTGCTGGCACATGATGATCAACTCGTAAGTCAGCCAACAAGTATTTCATCCATGTAAGCTCACACGTCGCAGAGGCCATGGCACGATACTCTGCTTCTGCTGAAGATCGAGAAACGATGGTTTGTTTCTTAGTCTTCCAAGATACCAATGCTCCTCCAAGGAATATGCAATAACCCGTGACAGATCTCCTTGTAATTGAACATCGAGCCCAATCGGCATCACAATATCCTGCCAAGATTAGGTCCCCCTTTGAAGGAAATAGAAGTCCTTGTCCAGGTGCCCCTTTCAAGTATCGCAAGAGACGATGGACTGCATCTAAATGTGGTTTTCTTGGTTGTTGCATGTATTGGCTGAGTACATGAACTGCATATGAAATTTCCGGTCTAGTGATAGTAAGGTAAATAAGTTTACCAACAAGTCTCCTATACTTCGAGGCATCATGAAGAACTTGCCCTTCCGTTAGAGATAACTTCAAATTTTCTTCCATGGGAAATTTTGCAGGTTTGGCACCCAGTAAGCCGGCTTCATCAAGAATGTCAAGCGTGTATTTCCGTTGTGAGATAGAAATACCTTGAGAAGACCTAGCCACCTCTACGCCGAGAAAGTATTTTAATGGTCCCAGATCCTTGATTCGAAACTGAGTGTGAAGAAACTGTTTGAGATCACGAATGGCCTCTTCATCATTGCCTGTGATGATCATGTCATCGACGTAGATTAGTATAGCTGTGAATGAGTGATCACGTACCTTGGTGAACAAGGAATAATCGGCCTTGGATTGTTGATACCCAGCTTGGTGTATAGCAGTGGAAAATTTGTGAAACCAGCTTTGAGAGGCTTGTTTAAGCCCGTAAAGTGACTTGTTGAGTCGGCATACATTGTGCTCCCCCTGACAACGAAGACCAGGAGGCAGTTGCATATAGACTTCTTCCCCAAGATCTCCATGGAGGAAGGCATTTTGAACATCCATTTGGTGGAGAGACCAATGACGAACAAAAGCTACGGCCAAAAGACATCGGACGGTAATAAGTTTGGCAACTGGGGCGAAAGTCTCTTTGTAATCGATACCTTCACGTTGTGTAAAACCCTTGGCAACAAGGCGAGCTTTATAACGCTCGACAGGCCCATCTGAATGATACTTGACCTTGTAAACCCATTTGCAACCAATAGCTCGATGCCCGGGAGGGAGACGAGTGAGAGTCCAAGTCTGATTTTGTTCCAAGGCTAGGAGTTCAGCTTGCATGGCGGCTTGCCATGCAGGATCACTATTAGCTTGCTCAAAGGTAGTGGGTTCAACAATGTTGGAAATAGCACAAGCAAAAGAACGGTGTGAAGAAGAAAGATGAGCATAAGAAACATAGTGAGATAAAGGGTAACGTGTACCTGACATGGAAGAGGAGGTGGCACTGGGAGCAAGAGAGTGTACATGATATAAATGATAGCCCTGAAGTCGTATGGAGGGTTTTGGAGGACGGTTGGAGTGGCGAATGGCAAGGGGAAGAGGGGAGGGAGCAGGCTCGGTGATGAGAGGGTCCGAGGAAGGGTTAGTGGCATGGATAGGGGCAGGTGGGTCGTGTGGTGTGTCGTGGGATGGAAGGGGGATGGTAGTGGTGGTAGGGGCAGGTGAGTCGATGGTAGTATCAAGGGGAAGGGGGAGAACAACACTGTCAGGTTGGTGATCTGGGGGTTGGGAAGCAAAGGGAAAGGTGTCCTCATGAAAGATCACATCACGGGAGGTGGAGAATTTGTGGGTAGTGAGATCATAAACACGGTACCCCTTTTGACCAAGAGGATATCCAACAAATATGCATTTCCGAGCACGTTGATCAAACTTGTGTGTGGGAGTGAGATTTGTGACATAGCATAAGCAACCAAACACACGCAAGTGATGAAAATCTGGAGGTGTACAATGTAAAAGCTCAAATGGGGTTTTGTGATGGAGGAGTGGTGTTGGTAAGCGATTGATTAAATAACATGCCGTTTGAACACTTTCCCCCCAAAAAATTGAAGGTAAATTGGCTTGAAAACGAAGTGCTCGCCCAACATTTAAAAGATGGCGATGTTTTCTTTCAACGACCCCATTTTGTTGGGGAGTAGAAGGACAAGAAGTGTGAAACACAATACCTTTGCTATAAAAAAAAAAACGTAAAGAAATGAATTCAGCCCCATTATCTGCCCTAATCGTCTTGATCATGCGATTGAATTGTGTTTGAACCCAAGCAATAAAAGAACGTAACAACCCTTGTGTTTCAGATTTTAAACGCATAAGATGGATCCAAGTAAATCGTGAATAATCATCAACAATAGTCAAAAAATATCTAGCCCCCGAATGAGAATTGACTCGATGAGGTCCCCAAATATCACAATGTATTAAATCAAAATGTGCTTGAGATGAAATAAAGCTTGATGGAAAAGACAAACGAGTTTGTTTAGCAAGGGGACAAATGTCACACAAATGGCTAGAATCAAACATAATAGTTGGAACTTGCTTGGTCAAAAGTTGTAAGGGACCGGTGGAGGGATGTCCTAACCGTCGGTGCCAAAGGTTTGAATGACGGTTGACATTGTGAGCTAAATGAGGATTTTGTGTTGACGACAAGTAATAGAGCCCATTATATCGCTTGCCTAGGCCAATCGTCCTCCTCGTAGCCATGTCCTGTATCACACAAAAAGTAGGAAAGAAAATCACTATGCATTGTAGAGACTCAGTGAGTTTGCTAACGGATAACAAATAAACTTGAAAATTTGGAACATGTAACACATCATCAAGTTTAAGAAGAGGAGTTGCTTGGACGGAACCAACAGATTCTATAGTGGCTTTTCCCCCATTCGGCATTTGTACATAATCACACATAGATTTCTTGTGAAGCAAGTGAGGTGAAGGAGATATATGATCCGTTGCCCCACTATCAATGATCCAATATAGGTTTTTCTGTGGTAATACTCCTGACATTTTAGACAGAGGTGTAAGAGTACCTGTGGCGTTTGCAAAATGGTGAGGATTACCGTCCAAGTTGTTTTTCTTGAGCATGGCCATGATTTGGTTGTACTCTTCAGGAGTGAACTTGGGGCTGTCACCGTTGGTTTCATGATGGTGCTGATCCGTGACTGTGGCGACTTCACTGCCAGTCTTTATTTGATTAGCCGCAGGTTTCTTCTTGTTAGGAGGAATCATCTTTTTGCCATGGTATTTGTGCCCCGGTGGAAAGCCATTGAGATAGAAACACTGATCTACGGTATGATATTTTTTATCACAATATGAGCATTTAATAGAGGAGTTACCTCGTTG